ACTAGCCCATGTTACCGCGCAGGGGAGGAAGTGCCCCGGAGAGGTGTGGGGTACAGCCCCCGAGCCCCCCTGGGGCTCCTCCTCCACCCAGCTTACTTACCTGGCACCGCGTCTCTGGGTGCACGACGGCAGTTTTGCCCGGGATAACTCTTCTTCTGGCGCGGTTTTGTACCCGCCGAGGTGCTGGGGCTTAAGCCCACTTTATGGAAAGGGGAGGCTGCTCCCTACCTTGCTCCTGCGGCCACATGGCTGCGGGCAGGCGTAACCTGGGGGCCTCCAACCCCCAGGTCTCCGGGCTTGGGCCTGCACATAGGATGCCTGCCAAAAAGACTTTGGAAATCTCTGGAGCCCCTGGTGGGGTGGAGGATGTTTGCCAGTTGTAGGGCCACTTACTGTTCGGGACTGACTCATGGATTCAGGCTTGATTTGGCTTGGAGCACCAAACATTTCTTTAAAAACAAAAAACAAAACCCATGTTTAAAGCCAACAGTGGCAGCAGCAGTGTCTAAGCAGGCAGCAGTGAGGAGCGCGGGCTGCATTCATGGCTGGTTCCAGTCCACCTGATCCCTGCTCGATCCATATGATTTGGAACTGATTTGGCTAATTTGGCCTGGAGCACAAATAAATTTAATAATAATTTTAAAAAATCCCTTCTAAACTTTTCATTCCACGAGCGTTAGGTCCCTCTCTTCCTTCGAATGGTCTTGGTGTTTCAGCAGGCACAGGTTGCAAGTTCAAGGCCAGGGCAGAAGCGGTCCCAGTGCGGCCCTGTCAGATGCCAACGAATCTGCAAATTCTGCTAAATACCTTGTGGTAAGGACCCAAAACAAGGAGAGGAAAGGATGTTCCACCAGTCAGGCTAACCTTTGTCCCGCCATGCTGCTGCCTATTCACTGCTCCTGGTCACGAAGCTCCTATTCCACAGCTCTGCCGGTTGTTTTTAACTCACATTGCCATGACATTATATTCGTTTTCGCTTCAACCTTAAACTGAATAATCCAGCCCTAACCCCCTAGCATACGAGTAAAGCTTCTAGTTTATTTTTAACTGGAGAAAAATAGGCATGGTTTCATGGGTGATGATGCACCTGCACCCCCTTTGCAAAATTCTAGATCCGCCCATGAGAGTAAGTGTTGCCCATGAAAAGAAGGTATATTGAAGATGTCTGGGATAGAGGTATAATGTAGTGACTGCTCATATTGCATTAGTGTCTTCTACACAGGCATCTCTAAGCTTAACTGGGAACAAACCTAGTTCCTAGCACTGCCCTGCGAGGTTTGCATTATCCCCATGTTACAGGCACGGAATCTGAACCACAAAAGAAGGTTCTGCAACTTTCCCAAGGTGCCATGGAGAATTAGTACTGGTAGGAGAAAGAGGGCAGGGATTTTCAAATGCACAAATGTCAGTCAGCCACTCAACTCTCATTAATTTTCAATGGGAATAGGGCACCTAACTACTATTTCTGTGTTCAAAAATCTCTCTCCCCCCTCCCTTACCTTGTCTCCCCATCTGTTTGAGAAGTGCCTCATATATCTTGGATATTAAATAATAGATAGTCAACAGAAACCTGATTTCCTGATACCTATTACCTTGGCTACCTCCAAAATTATCTACCTCTTTTCCCTTGTTCTTTTTAAATTATTTCTTTCTAGGTCTAATAGGTCATTAAGTCATTACTAAGGTCATTATTATTAAAAATAATAATTATATTGCATGGTAAATAACAGAGTATTTTCACTTCTTTGCTGTTTGTAACTCATGTCAACTTCTCATGAGCCTCAAATTTGGCATTCTTCTTAAAGCACCCACTCCTGCAGGGATGCAATTATGCAAGCATCCCAAATCTTAGGGGGAAAAATAATCTTGTTTTAAAGACATGCTCATTATTCTTAGGGACCAATTCACAATTCTTGAACATTTGGGGTTGGAACAGTGATAGCTTAGCATAAGTACAAAATGTTATTCTTGATCATGATGCTGAATGAAACATTCTGTCCTTAACTTTGTTGAAACCCAGATATCACATTTTAATCTAATCTTTTAGAATTCTGAATTTGTCTCCTATTTTCAGTCGTAGGCTTGGACATGTGTTGAGATATTTTTAACAGACTGTTTACTGGAATTCTAGTTTCTGTTCTGCTTTTTTCTAACAGCTTTTCTTTTCATTATTTTCAAGTCTCACATGGGCAGTACTTCTGAATGTTAACATGACATTGGCCAGAGGTGTCTACATGACATTAAACACAGAAGGGCTAGTGGGAAGGAGCTAAAAGCTGAAGAAAAAAAAGTTTGCACTTCCACAGTGTTAAGGAACCAAGAACTTCAGACCAGCACAAGGGAAATTGCAAGTAGTTGCTTTGTTCATCCTGTAACACAATTATTTTATAGAGCTGAAAGCATTTGGTGCTTCAATGAAGACAGGGTCTTTGCCCCAGAGACCTTAAAACCTAAGTTTTACACATGACCTTAAGCAGGGGTGGGCAAAATGCAGCCTGCGGGCCAGATGCGGTCCACCAGGCCATTCTACCCAGCCCGTGGGGCCCCTAAAAAAATTTAGAAAATTAATATTGATCTGCCCCAGCTGCCTGTCAGGTGGCCCCCAACAGCTTGCCAAAACTCAGTAAGCGGCCCTCCGCCTGAAATAATTGCCCGCCCCGACCTAAAGAGAGGGTGCATAAGGGATGCAGTCCAGAAGATCACACGGTTATTTTATGTAAGCAAATGATCCCATTCAAACTGTATTTGCTACAATGTTCTTGTGAATTAGAGATCCCTGGAAACAAACAATTATGCTTTGCTGCAACTACCAACTGAACCAGAACCGTGCATTTATCTGATTAGTCTGGTGATTATCTTTCTTTTTTCCTTCACACCAGCTCAGTTTCTAATCTCAGAAGGAAATACCCTTTTGGATTTAAAATACTGTTTCACAAAAAACCCCAAAAACCCAGTCTCCCCCTGCCCAAAAAAACAAACTAAAACCCAAACCACTACAACAAAAAATAATATATACATTAACCCACCCACCTCCAAAATAAAAAAAAGAGCACCACCATTTTGGTGAGCAACCAAAGACATAAGTAGTCATCTTTACTGTGTTTAATATACTACAAAGAAAGTAAAAGAGGCTTAATGGAGCAAGTCAATTGGAAGGGGTTGATGAAAACCTACCCTGTCCTGTCGTTGCTGGCCTATATTACAAGCCTGTGCTTTGAGCTCCTCTGGTATGAGCAGTACTTGGAGCCCAAATGACAAAGATCCCTACTCTCAACTGCCACCTAGATGGAAAATAAAATACAGCTTCTACACAGGATCATGGGCGGCTGCTGCTATTGTATCATCACCAAAGTTAAATCAAGAGGAATAATTTTCGAGGCAGGAGACACTGATCTTATGACCATATGAAGCGACTATTTATATATCACACCTGCCTCAGAATCCCTCCTCTTCTTCCATCAAATCTAGTTCAAGCCTCTTGTCTTAACCTTCGAGGCCCTTCACAGCTCTCTTCCACCAGACTTATTCACCTGTCTCTGCCAACTTGTTCCTACTCTCCCTGCTCCAACCAAAGACACCAACCGCCTGCTGTGTCCGCAACCCACTTCAAGCATGGAGCACATCTGAAGTGACTTTGTGCAGCTGCTAACTTTCCCTTTTTTAAAAATCCTCTCTCAAGGCCAATCTCAGGCAAGATTCATAGCTGAAACTCAACATCTAGTGGCCAGATGGAGCGTGCAAAGTGTGAGGATGCCACTGCAAAATACACCCCCCCCCCAGGTCTAGGCACTTCTAGTAAGCATGCTCTTGGCTACCAGGTGGGCATATAGGGAAAAAATAACCTGCCCATGTCCCAAGACTTAAATCCTACAGGCCTTTACAGAACTAGTAAAAATAACATTCATAAAAACAGTACTCACCACTACTACTGCTAAAACTCCTATAGCTAAGAGTACCCAAAAAGGAAAGCCACATTTATTTGAACCACAAAACAAACAGGAAGCCAGAGCAGTCTTTGGAGAGTTAAAAACTCTTCACTCCATGTGGTTAACACCACTGAACAGGCGGGCAACCGCATTTGAAACAGCTGTCACTTACAATTGGTCTGCAAGGGCAGCTGACTCCTGCTCTCATATAAAAAAAATCAAAGGGAGTTTTTGCCTTGGGAGTCAAAGGGTCTGGGTAGAATGGCTT